CAAGTGACACAAACCCTCCAGACAGGTACTCACACATATTTCGCTCTATCCAAATATCATTGTTGCTCGTACCCAGCCAACAATAATAACAATGTGCTCTGTGCATTATAGACCTACAACCACGTTCAGTAAAGCATCTGAGATTTTTAGCACTACATTGATCGCAAAACCGTTTGATCATGAGACGATTATTTTTTTTGTAGTAAATTTCACCAAGTCAATATTATCCGTTCCAGTTCATCACTTACAATACCACTAATTACTCACCAACGATGTGGTTTATATTTAATACGTCTACAAAATTTAAAATTGGAAGACAAATACGAAAGTTGCTAGACAACTACGAAAGTTGCTAGACAACTTTAAAAGATTCTAAACAGATTAGACAACTTAGAAAGTTGTCAGAGCAATGATAACAATACTTCCAAAGTAGTAAGACAACCTAGAAATGCTGAAAATTTATAAGCGATGAGATCATTTCTAAAGGAGATTTTTTCATTGTACCTTTGCCGGATGTAATCAAAGCAATAGCTAGCACACGTGCTATCGTCGATGTCCTGAAGTTGAAGCGAATTATAGACATTTCCCTTGGCAATTCCATTACCCTCTGTTGTCGGCAACTTTGTAATCGCTAAATACCAGTCAACATCGTCTGGAGAAGTAAATTCTACGTCGCTCCGTACAGGATTGTTGATCACCATAAACCAATACGCCCCATCACCGTCGTTAGAGAAAGGTACCAAGTCTAGAAAGCTTCTCGTTGCTCGGTGTGCATGTTGCCGAGTTCGTAGTAGGGAGCGTCAGGCAAATGAGGCAGGACGGCGTGTTGATCGGCTTTGGCATTGAAAAGTGTTTAAAAAAGCCTTTGGCAATTTCGGTCCTTCCAAACGTTTTAGGCATTCGACTCATAGGCATGGCTAAATAACTCATGGAATCTTTAACCTGTAATAGCCATCGTATCCTTAGAAATTGTGAACCATCACCGTGACTCAGCGATGGCTGTCTCCTCTTCTTTTCTTTGTTGTTTGGCTCGGTCCGATCTTACAATTTTTTTTAGGTTCTTTTGAAATCTTCCGTGTCGTTCTTGTATACATACTTTCGTCCCACGAAGATATCTATGTCTAAACACGTCAATGTCTTGAGTGTTGTTTAATTTACCAATTTACCAATAATGTGGAAGAGGTTGGTGTGGTATATTTGTGGCGTTCAAAACACACCAACCTCTTCCACTACGGTTCATTGCTTGGGAATGACCTCCCGCGGTGTAATTTACCCAGTGTGGATGAATAGAAAGAAGAATGCAGATCTATTAACAAGTATATTGAAGAAATAAACACAACGAGCCCTTTTCAATGAACAAATATAAAATTTAATCAGTTTAACATGATGAATGTAGTTAAAATAGAACAGGTACATGAAGGAAGTCTACCACCACCACCACCAAAAAACAAAAGCAGCTTACGGTCTTATTTCACTAACAAGGTCTAAAAGACAAGAAATCATTAAGAAATAATTTTTACAGTACATATTTGTCATTTCAAATTGCATTTTTGCTTTAATTCTTTTAGTAGACTATATTCTACCATTGAACGAATCCACAATCATGCACCCTGTAAAAATTCTTCAGAGCATGACAATAATGTGAAGTAATAAAATAAAAAGTGAAAGCAATAGTTATCTAATTCAAAATGATTCAAAAAGAGAGTATATTGCGCTGTAATGAATAATATTCTACTTGTAATGCAAAGACTTGTATAGAATATTTTTTCAATCGAGAAATGAATTATTCAGACAGAATTGATCTTATGTAAAAGGACCCCACACAGCAATAAAGAATATAATAGAGTCACAACAAATTCAGATGGTATAGAGTTAAATTGTACGACTGCGTCAAACCAATAAATAGCAACAAGATCTAAAACGACTGAAATCAGCACTTAATAAATTTATCATGCAATATTTAAAACCATTATTATTGGTTTCCATCGCAGTATCATCTCCTGATGGCTAGATATCGTTATCAACATGAGAATAACGCGGGAAAAAAACTGAATACAGCAGTATTGAAAAGCATTTATTGAATAAAGGGATCATATTGCGGTGTTAAGGATTATTCATTACTTGCAATGCAAAGACGTGTATAATATTCTTTTGAATGGCGAACACAATTTTAGGACACAAATGAACCCAATGTGAACCCAACGCGTCAACGATTTATATAATAGTGCTCTTGTCACCATGTTAAGAGATTCAGGTGGTGTAGAGTTAATGTGCATGACTGCTTCAAATCACCAATTACAATAACCATATATATATATATATATATATATATATATATATATATATATATATATATATATATATATATATATATATATATATATATATATATATATATATATATGTGTGTGTGTGTGTGTGTGTGTGTGTGTGTGTGTGAGAGAGAGTGTGTGTATGTGTTTTTGTGTGCCTTTATTGATTTAAGTTTGTTCCTCTTGTAATATTTCTTTGTTCATGTTTTTCTGTGTAATGTCATCGATCTTAATATTTGAATTGACTTAAATACAACACGGATACGAAATTAATTTTGAATACTGCTTCTTTTAGCTGGTGGTTTAAATTTATCATTATAAGGCTCATTATTGTTTATCATTCCATTCTTCCCTGAAGTTTATTAGTATAACATTTTTACATGCGTTCACATCTGTGTGTGTGTGTTTGTGTGTTAGAGAGAGAGAGAGAGAGAGAGAGAGAGAGAGAGAGAGAGAGAGAGAGAGAGAGAGAGAGAGAGAGAGAGAGAGAGAGAGAGAGAGAGAGAGAGAGAGAGAGGATGACCACATTGAGAAAAAAATCTGGAAAGGACGGGGCCCATTGGAGTCTATCTTTCGCACCTTTGCTTGTATTCTGGATTTAGAATGCTATATATGGTTTCTCTATCTTGTAATTTAATGGTATATGTGTGTTTTTTATGTCAATTCCCAAAATCGGGCTATATGGTCGACAATTTTCTTTCAAATCAACTCAGTTTGGACAGCAGATTGGGAACCTCACCATAACTTTAAGCAAATAGTCTCTTGTGAGCGCGCTGAGTCGATACACGCACGCATGAATATATATATATATATATATATATATATATATATATATATATATATATATATATATATATATATATATATATATATATATATATATATATATATTATGCACGAACTCCACATTGATGCGCCTGTAATAAATTTGGACATCGTTCATCAGAAATTTTGCTGTGTTTTCTATTTAATTTTTCATTCTATCCTTAATATAAATGTTTTGTAGGTCTTTTCACGGTTTAGTTTCATGTTTACATGCTTACAGAAGATAAATGTTAGCATGTTCAGTGCCGATATTTATTTTAAGTCATGGGAGCCCGCAGCAAGGGTCAAGAGGGGTTGCTTACCTTCCTGCACACACAAAAACACACACACACACACAAAACATACATACATACATACATACATACATACATACATACATACATACATACATACATACATACATACATACATACATACATACATACATACATACATACATACATACATACATACATACATACATACATACATACATACATACATACATACATACATACATACATACATACATACATACGTATCATAAATGATAGATATATCTGAAATTTTAGGATCAATCATCATCGTCATAAGGAACTTTGTTTTCTAATTCTTAACAAACTCAAATAATCTTTTCCCTGGACGTTGCATAAACAAAACAGTCTTAGTTGGTGGCATTTTAAACATTTTTAATTCGTTTCTATGCTGAATGCCAATTTATTCGGCTATTATTAATGTGCAAACCGAATTGACTGTATTGTTGGGACAAAATGATGACGAAATACATGAAATGCCTTTTTGTGTGGCGAAACTGGCAGGATTTTGACAGCAAGTTAGCATTAATATGTAAAAGGAAATCGTTTGAAATGATAACGAACAAAGGTCAGATGTAATCGTCGACCATAATTTAAATATGCGCATTATTTACACATCACCTCAAACATAAATCAAGTTTCATAACACTGATCATTGACATTTATGCAAACAGCGTGAAAATGCATAATTTAGGATTTATATATTTCGGCAATATGCCATATGGGACCTTTTTTGCCAATATATCTATAATCAGCGATTATAGGTACCACAACGAAGAGAAAACCGTAGGCTATTTAATTGTTAAACTAATTGATTTTAAAAGGCAATGGATAAAAATGAAATGCATATTTAAGGAGAAGAGAGTTCCTTATTGTGTCTACATAAGTTTCATACTGACCGGATTATGGGTCAAAATTGATTTGTAATGTCCCTACCTCTTTTCTACTAACGCTCAGATAGCGCAGTTTTTGTTTCTAAATATTCCTTTCCTACCATTTACTCGTGCATGCGAAATCTAGTAAAAACCAAGAAAACTATTGAAATCAGCATTTAACTAATTTAAAATGCATAGTGTGTTAGCATTAGTATTCATTTGTTTCCTATTTGAGCAATTACTTCAGTAAATAACACAACTTCACAGTATCATCTGATGAAGGGAGAACGTAATTTTAGGTAATAATTTTTAATACTCATCTGAACTCCATACGGTAACTATATATATGTGTATGCATATATATATGTATATGTATGCATATATATATATATATATATATATATATATATATATATATATATATATATATATATATATATATATATATAGATATATATATGCATATATACACACATATATGCATACACATATATAATGTTTGTCACGATTTTAAGGAATCTAAATGGTGCAGAAATAACGTTAATGACTGCGTCAAACTACCTATAAATAGTAAATCAGTAATGTAGTTGCAGCCTCGTAGAAGCGTTATATTGATAAATTCTCTATAATTCTGAAAACAATGTATTTATGAATATTACTATTTCAACTGGTCACCTACATTGTCATAAACTCTCGGGTGGCCTAGTGGTTGGAGCGTCCGCCTCGGATGCTGAAGGTTTCTGGTTCGAATTCCGGTCTGGTCATACCAAAGACTTACAAAAATGGTACTAACAGCTGTCCAGATATGCGCTCAGAATTAAGAGGTTAGTGCTAGAACTTGGGGGCCTGGTTTCAAGATAAAGTGACTGGGTGGGACATCATGCTAAATGGGGTCCCCGAGTGGCCTATTGGTCTAAAGCGCTGTCCGTTACGGATCACTGCCATCCCACCTCTGTCTGCGTGGGTTCTAGTCTAGAATTCGGCGAATGTGGATAGGTGAGAAAGTTTTGCAGTAGCTTCTCGTGGGTCGGTGGTTCTTTCCGGGGATTTCCCGGTTTCTTACTCCACCATTAATACTGGCCGCCATGTATAGCCTATCGTATGCTGAAAAATGGCGTTAAGCCCCAGAACAACAACAACATTATTACTATTATTGTTGTTGTTGTTGTTGTCCAAATTAGCATCGTGTGGTCTAACTAGTTATTATTGTATACAAGCAATGTAAGCTTATGTAATTGACGCCGAGGTCTTTTATTTATTATATTTGTCTCTAGATAAACGAAACAAGCTGTTTGACCCATTTGAAATTAGAGACGATAAATACCATCCTGATGATTAAAACACTTATTTAGAAGAAATGTTCATAACGATTCGCAGACGGAATGATTCATATTATGTGTGGTGCTGTATGGGGTCTATAAAAAAATAGCATAGAAAGGTATATGAAGGCCAAGAGTTGTCCCGTCTCCCTCATAGACGTCTCATTTTACAAGTCTAAACCGTCATAATTATAAAAGTCCCATTTTAGAAGCTACACGTGCAGATCGACCACTAAACAAAATCTCTTTATTTCAGACAAACTGAAAAAGGCGCAGTAATTTAGAATATTACTCTAAATTTTAATTTTAAGTTCATCACAATTATTTCTTTTTTAAACAAATGGCTAAGCGAGTGATAAGATTAAAAGTTCAAAAGGTGGCTAGATGGTGCTATCTGCGTATTTTTGGAAGAACGGTGGTTATTTGCTATGGAGTACAGCAGAAATTCAATTATGTTGTTTCTTACAGTATGTTCTTTTTATTATTCATCGTTAGGTAGAACGCAAAATTAGCACAATAAAATGTAATAAAAACAAAATCATATATTTTATGGGGAAAACTGAGCTCGTTTTTGTCCTGAACAATTCTGCAGTCCTAATATCGTGCAGTATATCTTAGAAATGGTTAATATTCCCTATACATTTGAAGTAACGTACACAAAACACTCAAAGCTCAGGAAGAATCTTCAAACGACGAATACGACATATTGTTTAATAATAATCGACCTAAACCTCTATGCGTAAATGTTATTATGGAAGAACATGTTATCGAAGAAAACCTAGTAACACAACATGTTAACGAACCCTCCATTGAATCATATCCAGTTGAGCAAAGAAAGCTTAACTAACTCATCAGTTATAAACATCTTTATTATTTTCATTTACTAGTCATTGTGCTACGACTCTGGATATCAACTAATTTACAGAAACAAGCCAAGCCAACAAGATGTGTAAAAGTTAACAAATAATTTATTTATCAATGGTATCAAATGTAAATGTAAGAGGAACTTACAATGTTATGAACTGAATCAAAAATAATCCGAAGGCGTTCTATTCGGGTCCAAATGAATTGAATGTTTCGATTGAATTTCAGATCCTGGATTGAATGTATCACTCCGATTGTTCAGAACTCCCTTGAATAAGTTACACTAGCCCCAGAAGAATGGTCTTGTCCAATGAACACTTTGCAACTCCAATGAATAATTCTAACAAATGTTTCCTCTCAAATTCTCTAAACTCAACATTAAACACATCCGCAGACTGACCCTAAGAAATATTCTGTAATGGCACAAAACTTTGTAGATCCATATTCATATAATATTCTGTCGACACCAGTAAACGTTAAGTTTGAATATGGACTAGATCGCAATAAATTGCTGACTGCGAGAGATGGGTTCTGATCTGTTTCGGACATGAATTCAAATTAAATTAGAGCCCGTTCGATAAGTGTCCGACAGATACGTCAATATAGGGCTAAGTGTAGATGAATAACAGGATTCAGACAAACAAGAGCAAAATAGGTTTGGGAAATCTGGCTATTTGACACAGGTGTCATCAAGGTTTTAAAGCAATCTCCCACGCGATATTAGTCCGTCCCGTCTTTTCTGCCAAAAGCAAAAGTTTTCTCCGAGATCAGTAAAAGTACACTTCTCGTTAATAAATTGTTCAAGGGAGAGGGGGTCTGGAAATATTAGAGACCAGAAACCAGTGAAGAGAAAGAGGGAATTCTCTGATGATAAGCGACCGATGGTTCGCAAAGACACAAATGTATTGTCTCGGTTACATACAATATGTTCATTGATGTAAGTTTTGTAATCATTTGTTGAATTTATTCGTTTTAGACTCATCCTTCACTTTTCCTTGAGGTAAGGAAACAATCGTATATCATTTGTCTTGAATGGAAATCATATACTGTAAAGAATTCATGAATTACTCTTGTACGCAGTGTGAGGATTAAATTATCCATCTTAAATGATTTGTATCATGTATGCTGAGAATTGACTTTTTATGATTTTAAATTTATGTCAATGAAGAGCTAATTAGCAAAGTAACATAGTTAGGACAAGAAGTAGAATTCATTACATCATTTGTGTAATTAAGTTGTTAATTTTTTTCAACCGAGAATTGATGGTATTAGCATTTACAACCCATGTCGACCTACCTCGTCAGGTTGTGATTCACAACTCACAGGGGCGAAGGAATAGTCGCTAAAGATGTCTAATTATGTCATGGATCCAGTTAGGAATGTGAACAGCAGCTAGAAAAGATCTTAGATTATTTTAATATGGTTGTGAATGTGTATTAAGTTGCGAACTGACCATAAGCTTAGTTCTGTTTGATGACGATGCACAATATCTGAGAATGGGAATATTGTTTGTAAGAGTGGCCCCTTTTTCGATTCTCGCTGAGGTGTCTTTGGCTGTTTGCTGATTTTTATCAGAGCTAATATGATATCCATGAAAGTCTTAAAATTTGTCTGAATATAGTTCACTTCTTTTTCTTAAAACATCGCTTACTGGAAACAATACGTCCATGACATTGCCCTGATATAACCTTCATATATTGTTTTAAGGTTCCCATCGTTTTGATACGCGTAAGCATCAGATTTCGATCTCTTGTTGGTTTTATTTCCCATCTTCATTACGTCTTAGTCGACACATTCATATCGCTGTCCTAATTGCTCGTGGGTAACTACTATAAGGCCTTCCTTTGGTTCCCAGATCAAAATGTTTCAGAAAATAGTTGACCTGATGACACTACGGCAACTTTATGACCAAATTCATAATTGTACAGCCTGTACAGGTATGCGCAAATAATTTTCTACTAGAAAAATATCGTGTAAGTTATCGCACGTGCACCTTGTGAAAAGAGAGAAAATTTAAGTCCCTCAGCGTTCACTGGTACCTTGCATCTCTATAATGGTCAAGTATTAACTACATCTAAAATGACGTTTTTCCTAAAAGATAAATGCATAAAATAATATTGACTTATACCACCAATGAATATATGTCCACTGTAAATGTCTACATATAGTATGGTGTAACACTATGAAATAAACATTTAATTGCATTCGTATGTTCGTCAAAAACTGCAAATTTCGCCGAATTTATGCATCTTCAAGAGACCTAAACGAAATTATCCGCGCAACTAAGGAAATATTTTATTTTATAATAGAAGATACATTTCAAAACCGTCTAACAAATTTGCTAATTTCAAACTTACTCTCGGTTGCGCCCCTCATTCGAGAAATGAAAATTATAAAAACACGCGTTCTTAGCTACCCTTTATGCCATCGCCATAGCTGCCACACAATTCAAGTACAAAGTATCACTGAAAGACCTTTTTTCTCCTCTTTGTCAAAAAAAAATAATTGACATTTAAATGTCGCCTGTCATTTATAATATTTTTGTCTCTATTTCTGATTGCGTTTTAGGGCTTTCTGAATATTGGAATGAGGGTAGTTAAATATAAATGAGGAGCATAAAGGAAATCGATCATACCACCAAAAACTAAACGCAGCTTAAGGTCTTATTACACAATCAAGGTCCAAAAGACAAGGGGTGGCGATCGAAATAATGATTATAGTATATATTTTCATTTCCATGATGATTTTAAATTAAATTTATTGTTTTATGTCGTTATATAGACTATTATCTACCCTTGAATGAATTCACAATCTTGAACATTGGCAAATCTCTTCAGAGTATGCAATAATAATGTGAATCAAACTATGAAACTACTGAAATCAGCATTTAACAAATTTAAAATGAAATATGAGTTAACAATATTATTTTTTTTCTATTTGATGAATTATTTCAGTGCACAACTTCACAGAATCCTCTGCTGAAGACTAGATTGTAATGCAACGACGGGTATAAAATATTTTTATATCGAGAACAGAATTATTCAGACAGAATTGATCTTATCCAAATGAACTGCACACGGCAATAATATATACAATAGTGTGTTTGTCACGATTGCATGTAATGTAGGTAGAGTTAATGTGCATGCCTGCTTCAAATAACCATTAAACAGCAACAAGCTATAATATATACGGAAATTAGCATTTAGCAAATTTCAAATGCGTTATGTGTAAGCATTATTATTCATTTAGTTTCTGTTTGAGGAACTACTTTCTTTACACAACACAACTTCATTTTTTCTTCTCTTGAGAAATAAATATCGGCATTAAGTTATCGAAACAGTATTAACTAATGAAAGGAATTATACTGTGGTTTTAACGTTTATATATTACTTGCAATGCAATGACATGTATATCATTTTAAAGGGAATATAGAATATTAGGGCATATATATATATATATATATATATATATATATATATATATATATATATATATATATATATATATATATATATATATATATATATATATATATATATATATATATATATATATATATATATATATTCCTTTGAGTGATT